CCATGGTATTTTCAGTAACCTCATATGCATGTGAAAGCTGGACAGTGAATAAGGAAGACCATAGAAGAATTGATGCTTTTGAGTTATGGTGTTGGAGGAGAATATTGAAAGTGCCATAGGCTGCCCATAGAACCAACAGATCTGTGTTGAAAGAAGTGCAGCCAGAGTGCTCCTTGGAGGCCAAGATGGCCAAACTTCGTCTCTCATACTTCGAACATATTGTCAGGAGGGACCAGTGGCTGGAGAAGGAGATCATGTTTGGTAAGGTGGCGGGTCAGAGAAAAAGAGGAAGACCCCTAGCAAGATGGATTGGCAAAGTGGCAGCATCATTGTGGTCAAGCATGGCAACAATTGTGAGGTTGGCTGGCCCAGGATCGGACAATGTTTCGTTCTGTTGTGCATAGGGTCGCTATGAGTCGATACCGACTCGATAGCATCTAACAACAACAACATCAACTTTGGTACAATTCTGAAATAGTCACTGTTAGATTTCTTAATGGCCTTACAATCAAATGAATAGTGGGTCTAGAAAGTTCAATGCTGAGATCAAATTTTAAGATCTCAGTGGTTACTAATAGTTAAATTTCTGCTGTAATTCATATTAAATTTCTATAGCATATTTAAACTCAAGATGGAGTTTACTTGACAGGGACACAGAAATAACTTTTGGTGAAACACAGAAAAAGGCTTGTGTAGAACAGATCATTTACTATAACCTGTTTAAACGAATGCCATATGGATCGGATTTCTTTCCAAAGTGAAAGCTGACATAATACACTAACATGTGTCAGATCAGCTTGATGTAAATCTCTAAGTTTTGGTAAAGAGAAGAAGATCCCTAGTGTTAAACATTAACCTACATATCCTACTTTTGCTTAAAAGTAACAGCTCCTGTTGGACAGACTCCAGTTCACTTTCTTCATCTGTACAATGGAACTAATACTCCAGTGTAGACTGACAAGATTGTTTCAAGGAGGAAATGGAATCATGCCTGTAAAGTGCTCAGTATAATGCTTGGTATATAATATCTAATCCTTGGGAACTATTGTTACATTTCTGTACAATGGAAGTTGTGATGTAAGAATTTTCTATCGGCAATGACTCGATGCCACTTAACAACAACATCAATCTATAAAAAGTGAAAGCAAAAGTAAAATTTCTAATGAAACTCCAGAAGTTCAGTCCCCTTTCCTTTCTTAGTTTTTGTGGAATATCTGCAAATAATGACAGTACTTTTAAAAAGTTTGTAGAAAAATAGAATGAAAAGATAATAGAATTTTTTCCAGGCACTTTTTGAAGCCTCCTCTTACAGATGCATGTTTTATATGTGTGTAGAGCTGTGTCCCTCCGAATACAAATCCAGACAAAGGAGAAGGAAAAGGAACAGGGGTTGTCACTAAGTCAGGAAAGCTGTGGTTATAAATCAAGTTTGTGTTGGGGGAGGGATTGTACAGGAATCATCTTACCATGTTCTCTTGCTCTAGTGCTAAGAATTGTGATCCAGTATAAAAAACACGGGGCTATGAGGTCACTTGTGCCTACATGCAACAAGTCTCTGCTGGGGAGATGAGGCCATTTTGGTACATATGTGTGTGGTTCAAAGGAATCAGTCTTTGGACGTGTTTTTTATTTAAGAACATATGGATTCCAGTTCTTTGGGACACATGCAGTTTTTCTTTTGGCTTGGGGAAAACTCAATGTTAGGGGTTTGGACAAGTGGTTAATGCTGTCTCTTTTAAAAACAAAATCTTATAAATAAACCAAACATTGGATACAGTATATAGTAGTAGTTTTTGTTTTTTGTTTTTTTTTTTACTGAAATGTTTGTTGTCTACATTTTGGTGCAAATAAAAGTCAGCCTGGACTCCTAGACACCAGCAAGTTCTCCTGCTGTGTGTAACTTCTCTTTTTGCTCTTCTTCTACCTAGAGTTTTCTTAGCTGGTCTCCTTGCTGTTTGTTCGATTCTTGGAGTCTGTTGTGAGGTGTCCTATAAATTAAATATCTAAGGTGATGGATGTTTGCTTGTCTCAAGGAAATTACATGCATGACTATTTTGGCCAAATCTTACCTGGGTGGTGCTAACGGTGTGCTTGGTTGCTGTCCAAAGGTTGGCAGTTCAGGTACACTCAGAGGTCCCTCAGAAAAAAGGCTTGGCGATCTTATTCTGAAAAATCGGTCACTGGAAGCCCTGTGGAGCACGGTTCTACTTCAACACAGTTTGAGGCTGCCATGAGTTGCAGTTGACTACTAGTTTTAGTCTGATATAGCAGAAATGTGTTTTGTAAAAAGTTTAACCGTACACTAGCATCAACTGGTTGGAAATTTCTAGAAGACATAAATTCATTCTGGATTTAAAAAGTGTACATCCAAATGATCTGGCAAGTCATCATTAGTAACAACTTTTGGCTACGAAATGTGTGTAACCATTTGAAGAGAAGTAGAACACTCAACTTTTTTATGACTAAATTATTTTCTACTTTGCAATTTTGGTTGATATGTGTTTTCAATAATGGAAGGCATGGTGAAATAAAGGGAACAAATGTTGAGGTAATAAGAATTTTGATACAATGATGTGGCACATATGTGGCCCAAGTGGGCTCTGGTAGTAAGAATGATGTGACAAGGCCTGTTTCTCAAGGTTTGTGCAGTTAGACAGGTCCCCGCCTGCTCGTAGTTAGTGCATTCTTCAACTGACGTAACAGAGAGGCTGAAGATACAGTCATGAAACATTTAGATATTTGTGCTTGAAAATTTTATATAAAATTTACTCTATGTTGGACCAGTAAGTCTTTTGTAAATATTTCTTGATTGACTAAATGAGATTTATCAATCGGAAGCAGCAGTTAGAAAATGGGTTGAGGCAGGTTGGGAATTAATATAATGTAGAAAGATGTAGGAAGAGGAAACCCCAGGAAGGGGGGAAAATATGTTTAGAGCAACAGACAACAGTGAGGATGAGACTCTATGCAGGTAAGGGGCACTGGGGTGGGGAGGTGGGTGCCTTAGGTGGGGACAGAATGATTTAGGACCATGCTTCTCAAACCTCTAATGCCCATGATGAACGATCTGCTTTGTTTGTTAGCTTGCATTGTTTTCTTAAATTTCTAATCTGCTGCTTTTGTAAAATTCAATAACTGAATTACTAGGAAAAATGATTTGGTGATATGAAAATATCCAAATGTCCACTTTCTTTTTTTTTAATGCTTTGTTGTGAATTAGGTGATTGTTTACATGTGAGAACATTAGTTTCACATTGATCCCGTTGTATATCATTTTCTTGCCATGGTTACAATCCCCTCCATGCATCATCCATCTACCAAAGGGTATACCCTGCATGCCTGTCCCCGGTAGTCTGTACACAGCCCCTCTCCCTCTCTGTGTCCAAAGTCCTCAGCCGCTCCATCTCCCCACGTCATCATCTTTGCCTCCGTCCCTGGCATCACTGCTTCTCTAGGTAGGGTTCCATTCTCCGCTCTTCTCCCTTGATGGGCCCAGGGACTTCTGCTCCTAGACTGCAAAGTTAATCACTCCCCTACCTTTGCCACAAAATGTCTACCTTTACATTTCCAGCCCTTATAATCAGACCTGGTAACAATTATTCATTATTATATCACAAGAGACTTATCCACATCTCCTTTCATCAGCCCCGACTAGACAGAATGGATGCTACTCAGTGGAGATTCTACCTTTCTCCGTGCCCTCTGGATCTAGGTTCCCTCTTGAAAGCTTGTAAGTCAGTCACTTCTTCCCTCTGTAGAACCCCCATTCTGGGTAGCCAATGTCCAAGTTGCCCATCCCTGTCCTCTCCGTGTGCGGAGGGGGTGGGAATGCTCCTCGTTGTGAAGATTTATTTCCTCTTTTGAGCTACTGCTTCCATAGGTGTAGGTCAAGTTCATCAAATTGTATCAGATTATTCTTTTTTCCCTCTTGTTTCTTCTTCTTGTTGAGCTCTGATCATCTAGTCCTAACATTATTCCCCTCTTTTCCTCTTTGAAGTCATGCCTCAATCCTTGTGTCCTGAAGTTCTCTTATTCCAAGGTTGTGCATACATCGTCATTTACCCCTGTCCCACCTAGCCCATGTGAACCTGCCCAACCATTCTCCCATCCACCTTGTTCTTCTTTTTCCCCTCCCCTTTCTTGTGTATTGCAAGTTCCCCCCTCCCCCAGCTCTCCTGTGTCTGTTCCCTACCTTGTGCTCTTTCTTTCCCTCCCTCCCTCCCCACCTCTCATTCCATACATACCGGTGATCAGCACTTATATATATAGATTTCCACCCCCCTTTTTCGGTTCACTTTCTATTTCTGGTTATCTCTCATCAACCAATAGAAAAGCAGTTCATTAAATGATGCTGGATTTCAGATCACATTCTGAGTAGTACAGGCTTAGGGAACATTCTAAGATGAAGCTGGAAGGAGGTTGGAGCTAGATGGTGAAGAATCATTTGTAGTTTTGTGTTCTGAGCACAGATGTCCTCAGACTTGGGACTAGTTGAATGGACCACTCTCTGCTATCCTCTTGGATTTGCACTGCAGATTAATTTGTTTAAAACTTGCATGCTGAAGAAATATTTGATACAAACACACATTTAAAAATAATGTCAATTTAGAAAATTATTGGTTGGTGTCACTTACATTACTCTGTATTTCTCTGTTTGGGAATTGTGGTGCTGCAGGGTAATGCACTGGACAACAAGATCACTTTGAGCCGCAAGGTGGGTGGTTCAAACCCAGCAGCCGCTTCCCAAAAACCCTATACAGGGTCCCTATGAGTTGGAACCTACTCAATGGCACTTAATAATGACAAAGGCAACATGTATACTTTGTTTTGGAAACGTGGGTTTATTTAAGTAGCATGACACATTTCCAAGTTTTTTCTTCCCTCTTCTCATCTTCTACTTGAGTTGGATGAGTTTTACAGCAGATTTCTAAAGAGACCAGAACTGACCTTTTGGCCCTTCCTGCCTTGTGCTGTCTTGCTTTTTGACATTATCTTCACAGTCACAAGGCTTTGAGATGCTGCGAGTGCAAAGGACCACGCTGGGCAGGCTGGGACACAGCTTCTGTCGAGGCTTTAACCACAAAGCAGTGGTGGCTCTCAGGCGGGAGGACGTGAACGCCTGGGAGAGACGAGCGCCTCTAGCCCCCAGACACATCAAAGGTATCACCAATCTGGGCTATAAGGTCTTAATACAGCCTTCAAATCGACGGGCCATTCATGATAAGGTACGTATTTCTGATTTTTAAAATATGTGGGAATAGACCATGCTAAGAAGTATGCAAGAAACATGGACAATTTTGAGAAACAATTTTGCAACCACAGTAATAGCAAGTAAACAGTATGTGTGTGGCTACATAGTTAGCTATGTATGTGTACAGGAAGACATAAGTGAGCAAATGCATATTTATATGTAGGTGTATCTGTAAGTGTATGTACATACATACATTTGAGTGTACTGTATACTGTTGTTGTTGTTAAGTGGTGTCAAGTCGCTCCTGAGTCATAGGGTTTCTTTGCTGCAGCAGAAAGCCTCATCTTTCTCCTCCAGAGCAGCTGATGAGCTTGAACTGGAAGCCTTGTGGTTGGCAGTCCAGTGTTTATCATATAGTACCACCATGCTTCAATGTTGCATATATAATATCAGTTAAGGACGCTATGAAGACATGTAAACAACTCATGGATTGGTTTAAGGAATTAAAAGTCTTGGTTCTTTGCATTGGTGGACAACTTAGTCATCTGACACAATTCATAAAGTTAATATTCTACTCGTTCGTTTAGTGGGTAGCCTGTTGTTGTTGTTGTTAAGTGCCTTCGAGTTGGTTCTGACCCAGTGACCCTGTATAGAGTTTCCAAGGAGTGGCTGGTGAGCTTGAACCTCTGACTTTGAGGTTCCAATGACTTTGCAGTCCAGCGCATTAACCCACAGTGTCACACCAGGACTGCTGGTGGTATAGGGAGTCCTTAAAGCTTCTGAGTGGCCATGTAAGTTATAGCTATTTGTTTCTGCCCATCTTGAGCAAAAGAGAAAGAAGGAAACCAAAGGCTTCAAGGAGAAACTGGTCTACAGGACTAATGACAGGTATGAACTAAGGTCTCTTCTAACCAGAGATCAGATAAACTAGATGGTGCCCGGCTACCACCATTACTAACAGTAGCCAGTCGTAGATAGAATGGGAGAAAAATGTAGATCAAAAACCATATTCCTAAAAATATACCAGACCTGATGTGCACTGTGGGATAAAGCACTACTAGACCGCAGCGTTGGTTTGAACCACAAAGTCAGTGGTTCAAACTCACCAGCCACTCCTTGGAAACTGTATACAAGGTCGTTATGAGTCGAAACCAACTCAATGGTACCTAACAACAAGAAGAATAACTGGACTGAAAGAGACTGGAGGACCCCAAGACTGCTGCTTTAACATAACTTTTGGCACTGAAGTCATTGCTGAAGGTAAGTCACTTTTCAACCAAATAATTGATTGGCTTTTTAAACAACATCACCCATGATTAATGTGCTCCCACAAACAACTGAGTATATGGACTCAAATAGTCAACATTTACTGAAAAACAAAGAGGAGAAGACAAGGCAGGAAAGGGAAGCTAGATCAATGGAAACAGAGCAAACCAAATAGAAATCATGAGAATGCTGTGACATTGTGGAAATTGTAGACAAGGTCATGGAACAATTTGTATAAAAATTGTTAAATGGAAAGCTAATATGGGGTGTAAACTTTCACCTAAAACATTATACAATATTGTTAAAAAATATATGGGCATAAAATGAACCTGTATGTGAAAATTAAAGAGCATCTCGGTGAACATTAAGTGCTTGTTTTACTTTGGAGTCCTGGTGTGGCACTGTCGGAGAAGCACTGGATTGCAAGTTTGGTTTGAACCACAAGGTCTGTGTTTGACAGCACTTAACAATAAACAACAGCAGTGTTACTTTAATACCACTTAGCATTGGGAGACAAAAGTAAACAGGAACCATATTTGTTACAGGGAATGCTTCCTTTTGTTGAGTTTATTCATGAGAGTTTATTTACCTTGCCAGCCACTGTGCGAAGCCCCTAAGGTTATCATTTGGTTCTGTTTCGTCTACTTAATGACAGTCTGGTAAATACTTCATTGTATGGATGAACTGTGGTTTATTTAACCAGGCTGTGCTAAGTGGACAAATGGACTAATTGGACAAAAAGCCAGCCAGAAACTATGCATTAATTCTCTTACTTTGTCTCCTACTTGTCTTTACTTTACTCTAAAGTAGATTCCTAACAAGATTGATCTTCATTTTATCCAACTGCCAGATTGGTGCTCTCTGAATTCTGCCCTGATCATGCCACCCCTTTATTTAACACTCTGAAATGACTGTCCTTTGCCTCCCTGTACCAGCTGTGCAGTCCTGGACAAATCTATAAGTCTCAGGTCTCCTTTTTGTAAAACAGCAGTCATGGTGCCTACCTCTTGGTACCATTCAATGAGATAACACATGGCAAAACGTTTAACAAAGTACATAGTAAACTATTAGTAAATATCAATGATTATTGCTGTTATTGTTACTTATTAACCAATAATATTCATGTTACTCTTAAATTCCATGATGATATTCAAATTTACTTTTCCAGATTAATTTACCCATCATGCCCTTGCTCCCCTGCGTCCATATTTGTGTATATGTATTTAATGACTCTCATTGATATTGTTGTTGTTGTTAAGTGCAGTCGAGTTGGTTCTGAGTTGGTATAGGGTTTCTGAGGTTCAAACTGACCTTGCAGCCCAGCTCATTAACCCGTAGAGCCACACCAGGACTCCTCATTGGCATTTCCACTTTGTAGTTCCCATCTCTCTCTCTCTCCAAATCCTTCCCAGTATTTTAGGTAAACTTGAATTTCCACATTTCCCTGATCATCCCACCTAGGTATTATCTCAATATACGTTAAGTTACGACACCGTTTTGTTATTATTGTTGTTGTTATGTGCCATGGAGTCGGTTCCGACTCATAGCGACCCTGTATAGGGTTTCCAAGGCTGTAAATCTTTACGGGAGCAGAAAGCCTCATCTTTCTCCCACGGAACAGCTGGTAGTTTCGAACTGCTGACCTTGCGGTACGCAGTCCGATTCGTAACTACTACGCACACCATTTAGATTCTGTTAATCAGACGGTTCTTTCTAATTCCGCCTTGTTTTCCTGTGATCCTGGCTTCTGTACTATGTTTTTGAGCTCCTTTATGGGATGGATTTTGCCTTGAATACATTCCACTGTACAAACTAGGACAGTGATAAATACTAAAGGTCCCGAGGTGGTACAATGCGAACTGAACCAAAAGAAATGAAAAGTAAATGAAGATACACGAGGGATCTTCAAAAAAGTCACGGAAATATTCATTATCTATTAATTCCATTTTCCCACCAACATTTTGAAGACTCTTCGTATTATTTTACCTTTTAAAAAATATAACTTAGTAGTAAGTCACTATTGAGTATTGAATGTTTCAGTGCATTGCTGGTACAAAATATGCACTTCACAAGCGTAGTTATTTAAATTGCCTGTGGTAGTGGTTATGATCAAGCTATAATCTCTTCTTAAATATGAGCATGTGCTAAATTTTTAAAATTATTTTTGCTACCCAACTCAACCTTGATGAATTTCCTTTAACCAGTAAGTAAAAAAAAAAAAAAATTAGAGATATCTGTTCTATTATTTGTTGTTATTGATACAGAATTTTGTTCCTTCAGGAGATTAAGCCTTTATCTATATTTTCCACAACTATTTATTGGAGAAAATATAAATGAGGAGCATAATAACCTTTCATCCAAATTACATTCCCAGGAATATGTCAAAGCTGGTGGCATTCTTCAGGAGGATATTTCTGAAGCTTGTCTAATTTTGGGAGTTAAGAGACCCCCAGAGGAAAAATTAATACCCAAGAAGACTTATGCCTTCTTCTCCCACACAATCAAAGCACAAGAGGCCAATATGGGCTTGTTGGATGAGATCCTAAGACAGGTAATTAGTGACAAACATTCATAAATATTAACGTGGATGAGTAATGTATTTTGCTTTTAACTCTGCATAGAGTTTTAGTTTTCTTTCATCGGAGAGGAAATATGTCATGTTCAAACCCACCAGCTACTATTTGGAAACCTATACAGGGTTGCTATGAGTTGGAACTGACTCAATGGCACTTAACAATTCATGTCCATAGAAAAAGCAGTGGACAAGATGGTCCCCTGAATGGTTTGCATCTCTTAGGGCTCTCTGCTATGCAAGCTTAGAGATTGTAATGGGAGAAACCAAGCATATTTCATTGCTTTTATATCCTTAAATGAAAAGAATGATCAAAGTTTTCCCCTCTAAGTGACCGCCAATTAATAAAACTAAGTTTTCAGTTACTACCAATTAGAATTTGGGAGCTGACAAGATCCATGTTGTTGTTGTTATGTGCTGTCGAATAGGTTCCGACTCAGTGATCCTGTGTAGGGCTTTCAAAGAGCAGCTGGGGAGTTTAGAACTGCTGAATTTATGGTCGGTCAGCAGAACCTTTGTTTTTGTTGTGAAGTGTTCTTGAGTCAGTGCTGACTCATAGTGACCCTTGACTGTATGTAGGGTTTCTGAGGAGCAGCTGGTGAGTTTGAACTGCTGACTTTGCAGTTCAACTGACCTTAAGGTTAAAGTGCTTACCCTATGGCACCACTAGGGACCATATAGTTCACCAACTTTATTTTTTAGATTGGACCCAAAGCGGTAAAGTAACTTAGTAGAGGTTTCACATTTCTGTGAATACAGAATTGGACTGCAAGCTCTTTTTGTATTTATTAACATTTGTAATGGAAAAAAGCATTTTCTGGGATGCAAGTGCTACTGAAAAGCCAGCAGCTGTTTAAAATATCCATTCAATAAGTATTTACTGAACACCTTTAGTATGTCTGATACTGTTCACTGCATGAAAGGAAAAATGGTAAGATATTCCTGTCCTCATAGAGTTTGCGTTCTAGTGGGAGAAGACAGTCAATACACAAATAAGTAATACATCTTGTATATCATTAGGTGATAAGTGTAACAAAACAGAAAGAGAAAAGGAGTACTGAGTTCTGGGGAAGAGTAGATTCTGATTTAAACAGGATGACTGAGAGGGCTTCATTGAGAAGGTGGCATTTGAGGAAAAATTTGAAGGAGGTGAAGAAACCAGCCACATCCAGCTGGTGAAGAGTTATTCTAACCAGAGGAAATAGTAATAGTTTAAGTAGATCATGCTCTAAAATGTTTATTCTGAGGCAGATGCATAGAGACAAAAGTTTATTAGTAGTTACCAGGCACTTGAGGGAGGAGGAAATGGGGAGTCCTGAATTTCTAAGGGGTACTGAGTTTCTGTTTATTTTGTTGTTAAGTTCTGTTGAGCTGATTCTGACCCATACTGAGACCCTCTGTAGGATTTGCAAGGCCGTCAATCTTTCTGGGAACAGAAAGCCTATCTTTCTCCCACAGAGTGGCTGGTGGGCTCAAACCAGTGACCTTGTGGTTAGCAGTCTATTGCTTATCCTATGCAGCCACCCAGCCCTGTTTAGAAGAATTTCTGTTTATGTGGATGAGAAACATTTGGAAATGGTAGTGGTGATGGTTGCGCAACATGGTGACTGCCTTTGGTGTTCTTGAGTTGTGCACATAAAAAATGGGTAAAATGCCAAGGTTTTCGTACATATGTTTTACCCTAGTGCAAAAGAAATGCTAATTCTGCGTGCTGTGTGGAAAATAGGAAGAAGGAGCAGTAAGGTTAGTCTAGACTCTGGGCCATCCAGGCTGGTTGCTTTATCAGGCTTGTGGAATTGAAGGCTGTGATATGTGGATGTAAAAATGGCATGATGGAGGGGCTGTCTGACCGCTTTTAACTTTGCAATGGGGAGAAAGACTCAAGATTAACAGCCAAGAATGATACCTGTGAGGTGGGGGTCAGACCGGCTTCCCACCTCCAACCTTTTCCCCAATTCTGACACCAACCATCCTTCTTTGGTTACTTCTCTGCTGGGTTCTGTAACTCATTGTGAGATCACACAGAATTCGCAGACCTTACTCATCATTATGGGGTTTAGTAGGGAAGTAACAGGTTACAACACAGGATTGGAAACATCTCCTGACTCAGTTCTTTAATCAGGACAGTCTCCTCTCAGGTGTGGCTCTCTTTGACCCTTGACCTGTCAGACCCTTGGGTGTTGCCTTGCTTGGGGCAGAGCTCTTTTAGCTTTACTGATGAGCCAGAGGTGTCCTACTTTACCAGTAAACATCAACCCAAAGATGCTCATCTCTAGCTCTGTGGGTCAACAAACGTAATTCCACCAAGTGTTCAGAGGCCTCTACACTACCTGCAAGCCTTCTGCCCAAAGGCACTCACTCAGCTTTCTTGCTCTGTGGTCCCAGAAGTCCATAGTGCCATCTCCTGCAGGTCTCCTGGGCCTGCTGCTCCCGTTTCTTTGCTGTTGCCTCTTGTTGTCTCTTCTTGTCTCAGCCAGTCTTAAGCTCTCTCTCTGCATGAGAGTAGGGAGTAAGCAGACAGAGGAAATTCAAGGTCAAAGTCTGTTTGACCCTTAACTAATAGACTAGAACCTGACAATCAGGGAGAGAGTAGGAGAGTTTACAATGTAGGAAAATATATTTCATGTAGACATATAGAGCATATTCCTATTAACTAAATATGCCAAACCTGGGCTATAGTTAATTTGCAGTTTTTCTGAAGAAAACATTCAAAAAGTAATTCATGAAAATAATATTATAAGAAGTTTTCACCTTAAGCAAATAAACTCCTAAAAAAGTCTTTTAGAACCATTTTTGTTATGTGAACATTCTTCGTTCATTATAAGAAAATTAGTAAAAATAAACCTGGCAGGATTATTTTTTGGCAGCATTTTGTAACCAATTTTTGGAGTTAGATGAATATTAAATAACATCCTTAAATTCATGCACAAGCTAAATAATGGTATGATCCTTGAGGAAATAAAATGACTTTAAAATATTCTAAAATTACTATGTTTCAATTGCTTTGAAGCATAAATTAATAAAGTTATCCTGAGAGACGAGAGATGGTGAAGTTTGCAAAGAAAGGAGAAGAATGAATGAAATTTTAGTGAAGGAAGTGAAAATAAGTCAGGTGTTAACTTTTTGAATGCAGCTTTGCCCGTAGAAAGTTGGAGAGAAAAAGAGGGAAATACAAAGTAAGAGAGAGAAAAAGAGAGAGCTTTGTGTAAAGACTGGAGAGGGAGGGAGTGTTGTTATTGTTTTTAAGGGAGACATTGGCATGTTTAGGCTGAGAGGAAGGAGTCAGTGTAAAGAAGGATGATACAGGAGAGAAGAGGTATCATTGCAGGAGACTGGTTTTGGAGAACACGGGAAAGAGTTGGGATCTAATTGCCTTTCTGGTTGTCTCAGAAAGGAGGAGGAGCAGAAAGGATGGATGTGAGGGTGTATGGCGATGTAGAGACATTCACAGGTCAGGGAGCAAGAAGTTCAAGGAAATCATACATTTGTTACTTCATTGATTACCATCAAGGGACACTTAGCATCTTGCTATGAATATTTTTCATCTTCATATTTCTCTGTGATCCCACTAATTGATGTGTAACCTAGCATTGTCTCAACAGTGTAGGGACTTCCTCATAGCTCCTTATGTTAACACATCAAAATACATTTTGTAAGAGGAAAAAACCTGTGATATAATTGCTTGTTCATTGTCTTATTCAGTGTTTCTTGTTTTTGTGTGCAGTAAGTTAGTGCTGAGTTATGGTGACCCTGCGTAGGGTGTCTGAGGAATGGCTGGTTGATTTGAACTGCCAGCCTCGTGGTTAGCAGTCCAGTGTTTATCCCAGAGTGCAGCACCACACTTCTATAATGAAAATACAACAAATGGATGACTTTAGCAAACAAAAACTAATTTGTCTCACTGTTCAGGAAGCTAGAAGTCCAAATTCAGGGCGCTGGCTCTAGGAGAAGGCATTCGCTCTCTGTTGGCTCTGGAGAAAAGTTCTTGTCCCTTCTCAACTCCTGTTTCTGATCAGTCTTCATGTGGCTAGTCACTTCTCACCCCCATCTCTGCTCTCCTTACTTGTTTGTTGTTGTTGTTGTTAAGTGTCATTAAGTCTGTTCCTACCCATAGTGACCCTGAACAGGGTTTCCGAGGCTGTAAATCTTTACGGGAGCAGAAAGCCTCATCTTTCTCCCGCGGAGCAGCTGGTAGTTTCAAACTGCTGACCTTGTGGTTTGCAGCCCGATTCATAACCACTACGCTACCAGAGCTCCTTCCTTACTTGTTTAGTCTCTTTTATATTTCAAAAGAGATTGACTCAAGATATACCCTACACTAACCTTGCTTCATTAAAATAACAAAGGCAACCATTTCCCAAATGGGATTGTAGCACAGACAGAGAGATTAGTATTTACAACGCATGTTTTTGGGGGAAATAATTCAATTCATAATACTCACATGTGTTTTTACTCATTGATATTAAGCTTAATGGGGCTAATTTGAAATTTTGATCCTTTCTTCAGGAAATCCGACTTATTGATTATGAAAAAATGGTGGATCATAGAGGAACACGGGTAGTGGCGTTTGGACAGTGGGCAGGCGTGGCAGGTAGGCATGTTAGGGCTTTTCCCTCACCTGCTTTCTTACTTTGCTTGTGGGATAACTTTATTTTTGCTTACCTGTGTCAGGAATTTTACTTAATTGTGTTCATGAAGAACTTGACCAAGAGGCAATTGTATGAAAAGAACAAAGGGATACTGAATGATTTTAAATAAAAAAGGTGTGCTCCAGGTTTGTATTCTTTCTCCACACTTATTCAGTCTGTATGCTGATCAAATAATTTGAGAAGCTGGATTATATGAAGAAGAATGTGACATCAGAATTGGTGGAAGACTCGTTAAGAACCTGAAATATGCAGATGACACAACTTTGCTTGCTGGAAGTGAAGAGGACTTGAAATAACTTCCTGATGAAAATCTAAGGATACTATGGATTGCTCCTCAATGTAAAAAAAAAAAAAAAAAAAATCCTCACAACTGGACCGATAAATGGAGAAAGATCGACGTTGTCAAATGTTTAATTTTGATTAGATATGCAATCAACACTCACAGAAGCAGCAGTCAAGAAATTAAATGATGTTTTGCATTAGGCAAATCTGCTGTACAAGACTTCTTGAAAATGTTCAAGAGCAAAGATGTCATTTTGAGGACTAAGGTGTGTCTGCTCCAAGCCATGGTAATTTCAGTCTTCTCATATACATTTGAAAGTTGGACAATGAATAAGGAAGACCATAGAAGAATCAATATATTTGAATTATGTTGTTGGTGGAGGATACTGAAAGTACCATGGACTTCCAGAAGAAACAAATCTGTCTTAGATGGAGCACAGCCAGAATGTTTCCTAGAAACAAGGATGGTGACAATTTGTCCATTGTCAGGAGACACCACTCACTGTAGAAGGACGTCATGGTTGGTAAAATAGAGGGTCTGTGAAAAAGAGGAAGACCCCCAATGAGATGGATTGACACAGTGACTACCACATAACATAACAACCTCAAACATGACGACAATTGTGAGCCTGTTGCAGGGCTTTGCAGTACTTATTTTGTTGTGTATGGGTTGCTATGAGTAGGAACCAGTTTGAAGGCACCTTGTGATAAGAACAACAACAGCTTAGCTATTTGTACCATGAAATAGCTTGTGGGAGTCCTAGAGCCAATTGCCACTGATTTCATTTGTATTTATAGGTTTTAGGCTTGGAGAGACTGGGACATATATAAACACTGATAAGAATCAGTCAATAGAAAGGGATAGTAAAAGGAATAATCCAAGAGTTAATGCCATGGGAAGTGGTAGGGTCCCCTCAGGGCACACCCCCTTCCAGGACTAAGACTCAGTGGAAATACATGAGCAGACATATGCTCTGACTAGTGACCGTGTTGTTCACCGATAGGGGAAGTGAGGGAAAAACAGCAATGAAGCTGTGCCCTACCCCATTCAGTAGACTCCTGTGAACCCTAGTGGAGACCTGGTTGGCCAGCAGTTTGGCAAGACCCGGGAACTCCTGGGCCCAGAGTCAGTGACATAGCCACAGAGAACTAGAGTGGTAAATGAAGCATCCAGCTGATAAGAAGAGAGGGCATATGCACAAGAACACCCACACTTGCAGATAATATCAACTTGACCTTCAATGGTTGGATGATCAGAGCTCAACTAGAAGAAGAAATCTGATACAATTTGATGAACTTGACCTACACCTGTAAATGCAGTAGCTCAAATGAGGGACCAAATCTTTACAGTGAGGATCATTCCCACCCTCTCAATATACAGGGTAGACAGGTATGGGCAACTTGGACATTGGCTACCCAAAATGGGGGGCTACAAAGGCAAGAAGTGACTGGCTTATAAGCTTTCAAGAGGGAGCCTAGATCCAGGGGACATGGAGGAAGGTAGAGACTCCACTGAGTAATATCCAATCTCTCTGGGAAGGACTGATGAAAGGAGATGGGATAGCACTCACATGGTACAATTGCAGATATAATTGCTATCAGGACTGACTGTGAGGGTTGGAAATGTAAAGGTTTTGCAGCAAAAGGAGGGGAGTGATTGACTTTGCAGTCCAGGAGCGGAGGTCCCTGGGACCATCAAGGGAGGAGACCGGAGTGCGGGACCCTACCCAGAGAGACAGTGATGCCAGAGATGGAGGCAGAGATGATGACATGGAGAGATGGAGTAGCTTGGAACTCTAGCCCCAGAGAGGGAGAGGGCTGTGTGCTGATGACTAGGGTGGCAGGCTTGCAGGTGTACCTTTTGGTTGGTTGATGATGCATGGAGGGGATTGTAACCATGGCATGTAACAATATATGATAGGATGAATGTAAGGCTAATATTCTCCCATGTAAACTATCACCTAATTCACAATAAAACATTAAAAAAAAAAAAAAAAGAGTTAATGCCATGGGAAGACAGGAAAGGATGGAATCTGAAGCAAGTATAGAGATATGAGCCTTAGCTAAAAGAAGGGATGCAGCTGGGTTAGTACATTTGATAGTAGAAAGTTGAGAGGATAGATCCAGTGAGACTTCTCAGATTCCTTCCAAGTCTGAGAAGCTGTGGTCTAGGGTTCTTCATTGCACCAAGCCAACTCAGGAATGTAGAGCGAACAGCATTGACTCCTGTCAGCTAATGGTCTTTCTATCTGTCTGATTCTACACTAGGGATGATCAACATTTTACATGGAATGGGCTTACGACTCCTTGCTCTGGGACATCACACACCTTTTATGGTGAGGTGTTTATTTCATTTATTTATTTATTTTAAATACACAGCACACTTGTAGAACAGAACAATATTGTTCTCAGCTTGTAGACTAATCTGATTCGTGTGTGCTTACTTTCAGCACATTGGCATGGCTCATAACTACAGGAACAGCAGTCAGGCTGTGCAAGCTGTCCGTGATGCTGGCTATGAAATTTCTCTGGGTTTGATTCCAAAGTCAATAGGCCCTTTAACATTTGTCTTCACAGGGACTGGTAATGTATCAAAGGTAAATTCCACCTGCCTTTTTCCTCTAAAGCAGCCGCAAACTCTAACAGTATCTCGGAGATTTTGGGCATTTTGAAGGCATTTGAGAACCTCACCATTCCAGGAATGGACACTCTAGTTTTAGCCCTTTTCATATCTGCAATTTTCTAGTAGTAAAAAACAGAGGTCCAAATAGTTTTTATTGGGTTTTGGTTGTTTTAGTTGATTTTCAAGGCTTAGAATTCTTTTCATTTTTAATTTGAAAGGGGTAAGTTGTTAGTAAGTATGAAAGTCTTTTCTTAGGGTGATCTGTTTTCCTCTACCTTTGATGTATGTCCAAAAGTTTGGCAGGGACACAGGATGTAAAATTTCAAGGCTCTGTAGGAGAGTTTTGCTAATAAGGTATTAGGAAGATTATCCATTAAAGAATGGAATGGATTATATCTTCCTTCGGGGATGGTTTTGAGGATGTATTTATGATCCCCCAGAGAAACTTGTAATTATAAAATAAATCTTCGGTCCAAGAAAATTAAGTATTTTGCACATGTTAGTGGTGGTTATGTGCCATGGAATCGGTTCCGACTCATAGCAACCCTGTACAGGTTTTCCAAGGCTGTAAATTCTTGAGGGAGCAGAAAGCCTCATCTTTGTCCTGCGGAGTGACTGGTAGATTTGAACTACTGACCTTGTGGTTAGCAGTCCAACTCGTAATCCACTCTGCTACCATGACTTCTTATTTTTCCTGTTGTTGTTGTTGTTAAGTGTGACTCTATATAGTGTTTTCAAGGAGCATCTGGTGGGTTTGAACTGTCCACCTTGTGGTTTGTAGTTTAGTGCTGATCCTACAGCGCCACACCACATAGGAGGTTGGTTACTCTTTGTGTTATATTGAGATGGTCATCTAGATTTTTTCTTTTGAAGTAAATATAGTTTCTCCACTAGAGTGAATTTTTGCAATGGAGCAGAAAGGAAGTAGAAGTCTTTTATGATACCATCATTTCTCAACACTTGTTGCTTCTCTGAGCAACTGAAGTAAAAAAATGAAACCCCTTTCATGAGTGCTATTTAAACGGAAAGAAAACTGACTTGCAGACTTCAGATGAACATTTCATCCTTTCATCCATGGTATTCGGCTACCTTCCTGACAAGTGGAGGCATGAAGTTGTAGGGAGATAAATAGAGGAACCGTTATATGTGGCTTCTTCTCTAATAGATGTTTGGATTTTTCATTCATACATTATTTATAGGGAGCCCAAGAGATATTCAATGAACTACCTTGTGAATATGTGGAGCCTCATGAATTAAAAGAAGTTTCCCAATCTGGAGGTATTGGAAAGCACATGGTGGGATTGGAGGGGCAAGGGTTGGGGAACAACTGTATGCTTTATTATTTTAACAGTCTCTGTGTTATAATATTTTATCACCAAAAAAGTCTTTATAATTTGTCAGCCACTTTACTAATTTCCTTCTCCTCTGCAAGACCTCAGGAAAGTGTATGGGACGGTGTTAAGTCGTCATCATCATCTTGTCAGGAAAACAGATGGTGTATATGATCCTGTAGAGTACGATAAATACCCCGAGCGCTACATAAGTCGTTTCAGTACGGATGTGAGTATAATACTCAGCTGTTGATCTGGCTGCTTACGAAGCACTATTGTTAGATGGTTTTCAAGGAGAGAAATGATGAATGAGTCTATTTGTGTAAAGTTGTCCATACTGATTTAGCCCGAGTTCTGTGGGTGTCACCTGTTGGCCTTAGGAGTTGTTTGCCATTCTTGGTGGAGAAGCCTTGGCTTACTGGTTTTGGTGGTTGCTGTGGATATGCATTTTGCGTTACTGTCTCTGTTTCTTATTCAGTTCTGCATGCTCTTCATAGTTCCAAGCCATTTCCTATGGGTGTTTTTCTGCATCCGTCTTGTACTGTTAGCGCTGTTGGCAAAGAACAATGCCTGTGAAATTTGAGCTGAACACAGCTTTATGTGTTCTGTGGCTACCAATAGCCATTGTGATCTCAGCCAGCCATCTTGAAATCCAGGATCACAGGGAACCAGACCCAAGCCGACTGTAGCAAACAGCTGCTTACAGACACTCAAGTCCTCCTGATGTAGACACACTGATTTCATCTTCTACGAAGTTCAGTACATTTATCCATTCTGTAGTCATTGGTCATGCAACAGTCCTTTCCTCATTAAACCAACAGGCATGAATCAAAAGCAAAAATGCATGCATTTATTGTGAAAGGGAATGCTTTCAGTAATTTTAGATACATTTGAACAGCATAGCATTTTGGGATTTTGGTGTGAACTTGAATTGTTGTAGCATGGGAAGCATGTTACTGACGGAATTCTGATATGCAGCTTGAGATGCTTTGAGGAACAATTATGAAACTAGTCAAACTGAAAAAAATTACAATCAAGTAAATTTCCACTCCTTATCTTCTCAATCACAAAACTATTGGTGATTAGATGCAGTCTAAAAGTGAATAATGACCTAGTTACTTTGTATGCATGTATGTAGCATTTTTCTCCATGGATCTTACAGATGTTATCTGATTTAATCTTCACAGCCTTCCTTTGAGGAATGGGGGACATATTATCCCCATCTGGCAGGTAAGGAACACAGAGCTCAGAGAACTAGAGATAGTGTGAGTTAGATCATGGTTGAGCTAAACCTAGAGCTCTAGGTCACTAGACTCTCCTTTCCTTTTCCTCTGCTATGCAATATGTCACAGAAAGGGAGTAATAATATATGTATGTCCGTATGTTTCTCTATCATGGGGATACTCTACAGCAAAATATGGGGGGTTATGTAATGTCTTCGCTTCAAAAGATGGCCACTAACCTTGCCAATAAAAGAGCCAAATAGGATGTAAAAATTAAGCCATGTCTCAGGGTTTTTATGGCTAGCTCTCTTTCTGCACTGCATTGAAATAGACTTCCTTTCTTTTCTCATTGAACTTGGAACTTTGCTTTCCAGGTTGCGCCCTATACAACTTGTTTAATTAATGGAATCTATTGGGAACAAAACACCCCTCGCCTACTAACCCGGCAAGATGCTCAGAGTCTCATGGTTCCCATCAAATCCTCAGTTCCTGGTGTTGAAGGATGCCCTGCCCTGCCACACAGGTAAGGACTTGAGTCCAGCAATGATGGCAGTTGCTAACAGCAGCGCCCATTATGAGGGACTCAAAGATTATAATGTTTGTACTTATCATACGTAGCCTAGATGATTAATGACTAGCTGCTCTTTCCTTATTGACCTCTTGGCGGCATTTGACCCAGTTAACCATGAATCTTTCTTGAAATTCTCTTCTCTTGACTTTTGTGATTCTACATGCAGCATAGATGTCACCTCCCCAGAGAGACCATTGCTTCACCAGTTCTGGCTCCTTCTAGCATATTATTCTCTTTGTTTGTTTCTGTTTATTTCCCTCTGAAATTCATGATCACTTATTCTTCTGTGTTTGTAATTTGTCTTCCCTTCTACTAGAATCTAACGCTAGGAGTCCTTTTTTATCTTGGTCACATTGTTTGATATAAAGACATGCAAACATTTATTGAGTACTGAATTAATTAATCAGTAAATACTTGTGGAATGCAAGTATGGTCTGGAATGCTACTGTGCTAAGCTGATGGGCAGAGAAGTGTAAACTATGTGGTTGCTCCCTTCAGGATATAACTGGAGCAAAAGGACACTCACATAAAACATAAACCAAAGCTATGTTGTAGTTGTTAAGTGCCGTAGAGTCAGTTCTAACTCATAGCAACACTGTATAGGGTTCTCAAGAAGCAGCTGGTGGGTTTGAACTACCAACCTTGTGGTTATCAGTTCAGTACTTAATCCTACATAACCATACCTGGACTCCTTGATAATTTGTTGTTGTTACTAAGTGTCATTGAGTAGGTTCTGACTCAGAGTGACCTTATATAGGGAGGGTTTCCTTGCTGGGTATAAAGCCACAAAAACGCAGCTAAGACACTGTCACTAGAATAGTTAGTTACCATGTAGAGTTTGTGTAGACCCATTCATTACTAACAAGTTGACTCTGACTTATAGTGACATTATTAAACAGAGTATAATTGCCCCATAGCATTTCCACAGCTGCCACAGAGCAACTGGTAGGTTCAAGATGCTGACCTTTTGCTTTCTACAGTTTGTGTAGACAAATTGTAATTGGAGATTGGGCAGGAACATTGTGGTTGACCTTGATAGGCTTTAGAATGTTGGGTGCTAATTTTCTTTATAATGCTAGTGATTTCTGTGAATTAATATGAGATTTTGTAATAACTAAACAGCGTTGTTGTTGTTGTTGTTAAGTCAAGTTGGTTCTGACCCAGAGTGACCCTGTATAGGGTTTCTGAGGAGCAGCTGGTGAGCCTGAACTGCCGACCTTGACATTCAAACCAACTTTGCAGTCCAGCACGTTAACCCACAGTGCCACACCAGGACTCCACTAAGCAGGGTGAAGGTGGTATAATCAAACCTTCATAAGTTATTTACAGATGAATAACCAGGTTAACTATTATTAGTCTCTTGTCAATGATTACTCTGGGGAAGGGATTTTCCATTTTTCTTTAATTACTTTATTTTCCCCTTGAGGAGAATAAAACTTATATTGGAAAGATTCTCTGTATCCCAGAACAGTATAGTGGTTTGAGCAGTGGCCTGTGGGGGGAACAAAGACCCTAAGCACCTGGAAAATATTCGTCTTCTATAATTGGAAGTTGTTCCAAGCATCTTTTAATTTTATTCAGTTTTGGTCTTTTGGGAAACTTTAGCCTTCCATGCTCTCATCTAACTATAAATGCTGTTTTCAGACTTGTGGCTATATGCGACATTTCAGCGGACACAGGAGGTTCTATAGAGTTTATGACCGAATGTACGACGATTGAGAACCCCTTCTGTATGTATGATGCAGAGCAGCATGTTACGCATGACCGGTAAGTTGGTTAAAGCTGTTAGAGAGAGAGGCACAGACTGATACATCATTTCGCTGTTGGTGGTAAGTACCGCCGAGTTGGTTTATGAGGAGCTGCTGATAAGTTTGAACCACCGACCTTGCAGTTCAAACTGACCATGTGGTCCAATACTTACCCTGTTGTACTTTTCAAAATTAGTCAGTATTGTACATCTTTACAAAGACAATGACTATTTAGGGAGATATGCTCAAACATGTTAAAAGATTTGATAGAGAAACCACATGCACATTTGAACATTTAAATATATCTTGTGGTTGTTAAGTGCCTTCAAGTTGGTTCCAATTTATAGCAACTCTGTATAGGGTTTCCGAGGAGTGGCTGGTGGGTTTGAATTGCCGACCGAGTACTTAGAAGTTTAGTGCTTTATCCTACAGTGCCACCCCAGAGCTCCCTTTGTGTTTAATTGTGTTTAAATATATATACAGTATATTGACATGGGAGAAGGGTTCAGGAAGAATTGAAGCGTTTCCTTTGAAAAGTCTTCCTATTTTCTTACACACATTGTGCAAACTTACAAATAACGGTGGAAGAAGTATAATGGACTAGACATCTGGAAGAGTTAGAGTTTGCAAATATGATTTTGTACACCTGATTAAATCATATTGCTTCTCCTAGTGTGGAAGGTTCTGGGATTCTGATGTGTTCTATTGACAATTTGCCGGCACAGCTTCCAATTGAAGCTACAGAATATTTTGGAGACATGCTTTATCCTTATGTTGAAGAAATGGTAAGCAGAATCGTGGCATCAGCAATAACTCTGTGACTTTAAATAAAATCGGAGAGTGAGCTTTAGAATGTTCTGGTTTTCTGTATCTCAGAAATCTGTTGTAAAATGAAATGACAACTCTGTCCCAAAATCCTATGGACACTCTTTTATCGTACATTCTCTGCTTATTGTCTCCTGGGGAATGCGATTATACTAACTGATTTTGTGTTTAATTGCAATTGCATTTATCTCTCATTCTGCATATTTTATTAAGAATGCTCATTACATGTGGGATGGGATTTGCTTTATTTTTAATTCTTCCTGCTGCTTAGGTCAACACATATTGGGGCGTTCTTACTGTGCTGTGATTAAAAGATTTGAAAAATCAGAAATACAGAAAATTATATTGGATTGAAGCCACTAATGCCAGTGGGTAGTGGTCTATGCTTAAGTCAGGTGGTTTTCTTTTGTGATCAGAGATTGACAACTGAATGCTATGCTATTTAAATTTTTTTTTTTTTTTTTTTTGCCAAACAACAACAACAACAACAACAACAACTCTGTCTTATTTCTTATTTATCCCAGGTGTTCATGTCTGGTAGCTGTTTGCTGTAACGAGGATTCTAAATACATAAATAGTGGCTTCCCTTTACTTAATTTGTAGTTTCTCTTAGGAGTGGTTACGGTACAATAATGCAATAGTTGGTGAGACTTGAAAAGTGAAACTTCCAGTTTGTGACTGTTCTTTGTTTCTGATCTAATTTAGCTCATTTTGACTTTTGCTTTTCTCCTGGAATACGTAAGCAGGATGATGCCGGCTATGGAGTCGGTTCTAACTCACAGCGACCCTGTGTAGGGTTTCCGAGGCTATAAATCTTTATGGAACCAGAAAACCTCCTCTTTTTCTCCCCCAGGCTTTACTAGAGATGTCAGTTCACTTTATGGCCTTTAGCAGAGTTCTTCCTTTCTGAGCTTCAGATATTAAACCGGTGAAACAAGGTGGTTGTAGTACATAACCTTGATAGTGCTTCCCTGTTCTAATATTCCATAATTCTAAAAATCTGAGCACCTAAAAATTATGAGTATATATTTTTAAAAAGTAATAATGAATTGATCTAAATGACTACTTTTTTTTTTTTTTTTTTTAAGTTCTGCATTCATTTCCACCTCTGGTATCATTTCCCTTCAGCCTGAATAATGTCCTTCAGTGCTTTTTATAATGCAGGCTTGCAGACAACCAATTTTCTTAGTTTTCCTTTATCTGACTCTGTCTTTCTATTGCATTCATACCTGAAGTATATCTTGGCTGGATATAGTATTACTTGATGTATATTTTTGCAAGCTGTTGTTGACTTTTTTTTCTCTTAAGGTTCTCACGAGATGTTCTGCCAGTGTCTGCTGGTCTCCATAGCATCTGAAGTTAAGTCTACAGTAATTTCACCACATTCTCTCTTTTCTCCAATGCCAATTACCTGTATATTAGATGTTTTGATATTTCTCATAAGTCTTTGTTTTTCTTTAGAGCAGATAATTTCTATTGATGTTTCCAGGTTCGGTCATTTCTTTCCTTTGTCATCTCTATTTTGAATTATTTGGTTCTTATGGAAATTCATGGTCTCTTCCATTGTTGTTTCTGTTGTTAGGTGCCTTAGAATGAGTTCCCATTCATAACCACCCTGTGCACAACAGAACCCTGCATGGTTCTGCACCATTCTCACAATTGTTGTTGTGTTTTTAGCTCACTGTTGCTGCCACCATGAATGCATCCTGCCACATTCATTATTTTGCCCACAGAATCCTTCAATACTGCAACCTGAGGCTTGTTTCTTCTGTTCGTTGAGATTCAGAAATGCTCAGTGTGTTGTCACCTTTTGGTTTCCTAACTCCAGGTCTTTTCACATTTCCTTATAATACTTGGCTTTGTCTTCCTGAGGGATTCTTTGAAAATTTCTGTTCATCTCTTTAACTTTCTCATTCTTTACTTTGCTTGAGTTTCTCTACTTTCAAGATCAAGTTTCAGAGTCTCTTCTGCCATCCACTTTGGTCTTTCCTATCATTTTAATGACCCTGCGCTTTCTTCACGTACGATGTTCTTGGTGTCATCCCTAAACTGCTCTGGTCTTAGACCATTAGTGTCTGTTGCATCATATCAGTTCTTGAGAGGGTGGTGTTATAGGACAACCATTGGACTTCAAGCTAGGTTTGAACTGTAGTGTCGGCAGTTCAAACTCATCAGCTCCTCCTCAGAAGCCCTGTATAGCATCGCTATGAGTTGGAACCAACTCGATGGCACTTAACAACAACAACGTACTTAAAGTAATTTTTGACTCTCATAGACTTGTTTCAATATTTTTCTGTTTCAGTCTCATCTTGCATATGAGCAATTGATGGCTATTTTACATTCATCCTCTGACCATGTTTTGACTGATGATTCAACTTCTTCATTGTCATTTCCCACAAATACAGTCGATTTCATTCCTGTGTAGTCCATCTGTGAAGTTCACATGTGTCATTGCCATTTATGTTGTTGAAAAATGGCATTTGCAATACATAAGTTGTTGGTTCTGCAAAATTCTACATGATTTCCAGCATCATTTCTATCACCAATGCCATATTTTCCAACTACTGATCCTCCTTCTTTGTTTCTAACTTTCACATTTCAATAAGCAGTAATGATCAATGCATCTGGATTCCATGTTTCATACTGAAGAAGTTGGTGGAATTCTTCAATTTCATTATCATTGGCTTTAGTGGTTGATGTGTAAATTTGAATTATAGTAGTATTAGCTGGTCTTCTTTGTAGGAGTATGGATATATCGTATCACAGATAGTGGTATATTTCAAGATGCATCTTGAATGCTCTTTATGAGGCTGAATGATGCCATTCCTCTTCAATTTGTCATGACTAGCACAGTAAACTATCTGATCTGATTCATAATGACCAATACCTGTTCATTTTAGCTCACTAATACCTAGAATATCGATCTTTATGTGTTTTATTTCATTTTTGACAACTCCCACTTTTCCTAGATTCATACTTTGTACATTTCGTGTTATGATTATTAGTGGATGTTTGCAGTTGTTTCTTTTCCTTTTGAGTTTTGCCCCATCAGCAAATGAAGATCCCCACAACTCTTTCACCCATGTCATGCTGGTCAGCTCTACTCTCAGGAGGCAGCTCTTCCCATGTCTATTCTGAGTGCCTTCTAACCTGAGAGCATCATCTTTTGTCAGTATATCAGACAATGGTCTGCTGCTATTCACGAGATTTTCAGCAGCGAAATCTTCAGCAGTAGTGTGCCTCGCCTACTTCCTAGTCTGTCTTAGTCTGGAAAGTCTGCCGGAACCTGTCCACCACGGGTGACCCTGTTGGTCGTTAAAATACTGGTGGCATAGCTTCCAGCATCACAGCAACACACAGCCAGCACAGTACCACAGATTGGCAGGTGAGTGGTGGAACACCACATATACAGTACATCCGTTCTTCTGTCTTCTTTTCTCATTGTCCAGCTTTTGCATGCTTGGGTCAGGCAGACCATACTCATCAGAGTGACAATTTTGCTGTCTTTCTCTAGGATTATGGTATGTCAATTCCTCACCTCTTTGAATGCCTTGCAATAGGCTCTCTAATGTCTCGTCCACTTTTACCCATTAGGAGGTATCTTAGTTTTCTAGTGCTTCTATAATAGAAATGCTACAAGAGGATGGTTTTAACCAACAGAACTTCATGGGTTCACAATTTAGGAAGCTAGAAGTCCTAATTCAGGGTTCTGGCTCTCAAGGAAGGCTTTTTCTCTTGGCAGTTCTATAGTAAAGCTCTTTTCAGCTTTTGTGTTCTGGGTCCTTAGAGATCTCCCTGTGCTTTGGCACTTATCTTACTCTGTTTGTACTTACTTACTTGTTTAATCTCAAAAACAGATGTACTCAACATACACGTTGCACAAATCCTGCCTTATTAATATAACAAGACAACCCTTTACAAATTGGGATTTTAGCCACAGGCGTAGAGGTTAGGATTTATAATACATATTTCAAAGAGAGGTGGTGACCCAACGGAATGTGGAAATCATCAGACATTATCATTAATATCACATGTGAGTAAATTTCTAGTAAAGATAATTCAAAAATCACTGCAATAGTACATTGATAAGAAACTGCCAGAGGTTCAAGCTGGATTCAGATGAGGACATCAGATGGATCTTGGCTGAAAGCAGAGAATAACAGGAATATGTTTACCTGTGCTTTATTGATTAAACAAAGACATTTGATTATATGGATCATTACAAGCTGTGGACAACATTGTGGGGCATGAGTATTCTGGAACACTTAATTGTGCTCATGAGGATCCTCTATGTAGACCATGAGGTAGTCATTTGAATAGAACAAGGGGACATGGAATGGTTTAAAATCAGGAAAGGTGTTCACTAGGGTTGTACTCTTTCACTGTACTTACTCGTCTACATACTGAGCCAATAATCCAAGAAGTTTGTATACTAAGCAAATAATGTCAAGAAGAACATGGCATCAGGATTGGAGGAAGACTGATTAACAACCTGCGATATGCAGATGATACAACGTTGCTTGTTGAAAGCAAAGAGGATTTAAAGTATTTACTGATGAAGATCAAAGACTACAGTCTTTGGAATGGATTACAACTTAATGTAAAGCAAACATAAATCCTTACCACTGCACCAATAAGTGACATCATGGTAGATGGAGAAAATATTGAAGTTGTCAAAGACTTCATTTTACTTGGATCCACTATCAACACTCATGGAATCAGCAGTCAAGAAATCAATTGCTATATTGCATTAGGCAGATCTGCTTCACAAGACCCCTTTAAAATGTTCAAGAGCAAAGATGTTAGTTTGAGAACTAAAGTGTGCCTGTCCCAAGCCATGGTATTTTCAGTAGCATCATAT